CGACAGAGAAAATCAATATCAAGAGCCGGTAGTGTTGGTGTTGGAAGCGAACCAACGGGTCGTGCATTAAGTCGGTTAAGTCGACGTTACGGCCTTTGGACGAGACGTCCGGATGTTTGCGACACAGAAGCCAACCCACGTGCGCGAAGAAGAAGCCGCGGTTGGCGTTGTGGGGGTCGGCGTCCGTCTCCGAGTACTTGTGGTGAACCCTATGGTCGCGACACCACTCGTAGATACTGTTCTGTACGGCCATTGTGTTGAATATACACAACAGCGTCCGCAGCGCGAAGTTGGCTCTGTATGACCGGTGAGACCACAAACGGTGGGCGCCCGCCGTTATGCCCAGTCCTGTCACCCGTTGTGTTAATATACACATGTTATTTCATTTTGTGCTTGGTTAATTAATTAAAATGAACTAGACACATACCCGAGCACATGTACATGAGAAACCAGGCGAACACTGTTTGATATTTAGCGGCCGTTAGCATAATATAGCCGCCATAGAGAGCGCCGATATGTAGCGAACCCATGAGGAGTACATTTCTCCACACAATTTGTGTCTTGTATTCATTGTTGGCATTTGTTTTCACGTTATTATCGTTGTTATCACTTTTGATGACAACTTCGGCGTTGTCTTCGCAATGCTGTACGGATTCAGCAGATCTGCCCACCGGTGCCATCGAGACCAGTAGTCGCCAGTATTATAATTGCCACTAATATCCCAATGAATTCGCTGTTAATTCAAATAAATTGTTTGCAACAAAATTATTATTTTGAATTTTTATGCAATTTATAAACGGTTTTCAACAATAGATTATATTTTGACCGAATTTATAATGAAATCTCAAACATTTATTTAACATTTTTCCTAACAGTTTGGTTACACACAGTAAGAAAAATTATACCATAAAATGGGTCTAAATATCAAATAAGAAATTCATATAAAATGTTTCTTTTCACTGAAAAATTGTCTAATTATTGTTATGATTATCATTAAAATAAAATGTGTGGCCTTTTAAACAACCGATGCTAATATCCTGTGCCACTCATGGCATACAATATCCGGACAAACAATGCATATATAATTCAATAGTC